ATGGACTGCAATTGCATTGCATTGCGTGAGAGATTTGCAGTTGCATTGCACGAAGGGTATGTGCATTGCATGGAGGGTGTGTGTGCATTGCACAAAGTGTGTAGTTGCATTGCACAAAGTGTGTTGTTGTATTGCACAAAGTGTGTTGTTGTATTGCACAATGTGTTGTTGCATTGTACGAATGGGTTGCTGCATTGCACGAAGTGGGTTGTTGTATTGTACGGAAGGTGTGGTTGCATTGCACGGAGGTGTGTAGTTGCAATTGCACGGAGGGTGTGTGCATTGCACGGAGGGTGAGGGCATTGCATGGAGGGTGTAGTTGCATTGCACAGAGTGTGTTTTTTGCATTGCACAGAGTGTGTGTGCATTGCACGGAGTATGTAGTTGCATTGAACGGAGGGCGTGTGCAGTGCACGGAGTGTGTAGTGCATTGCATGGATGTAGTTGCATTGCATGGAGTAATGTTTTGCTTTGCGGGGAGTGTGTTTTGCATTGCACGGAGTGTGTAGTTGCATTGAACGGAGTGTGTAGTGCATTGAACGGAGTGTGTAGTTGCATTGCATGGAGAGTGCTGTGCACTGCACGGAGTGTGTTTCTTGCATTGCAGAGTGTGTGTCTGAAAAGGAAGCTGGCTCGGCGCAGCTTTGTCGGACTTCTTTAGGGGTTCTGGCCAGCGTCGGCCCTGTAAATTTACATATCATGATGGCAGCACAAGATGCCCCCTGCCCAAGCGGGGGCTGGAAGCTGGCAAGCAATAGCTCAATACCTTTTGCCCATATTCCCATTTTATTTAGGGATCCAGTTGGATATCGTTGCTATGGAGAAGCTGTCTGCCTTGAAGGAAGTTATTTTGTAATACTTCCTCTGTAGCAAGTGATGCCTTCATCAGATCCGATCTTGCTGGGTCACTTAATTAATCTTCCCACTAGGCCAGGCTGCCTGCGGCCTGAGGTCCCCTTACCTTTGTGTACGCCTACCAAGTATGGAGAATTGCTTGGGCCAAGTTACAGCTACAGATCAACTTTTCAAGCTAAAGGACGAGGGGACGAGCCACAGCCCAGTGGCAGAACACCTGCCTGGCATGCAGAAGGCCTCGGGGACCAGGTTGAACCCTCCGCATTTCCAGGTCTCCCTGGGAGAGAGTCTGGTCTGAAACGTCAGAGAGCTGCTACCAGTCCGTATGGATGAGACCGAGCTGGACAGAGCAAATGGCTTGACTAAGCAGAACACAGTTTTCCTATGTTCCTGTGTCTAAAGAGAAGGGTTGAAAGGACCTGTTGATGGCATTTTACCATTGCCATGTGGAGAGTGTATTATTGGTCTGTGTGTGTGGTTTGGGGAAGCTGCACGGTCAGGCGAAAAACAATGCTGTCCAGGGTTGTAAAGACTGCGGGGAGAATAACTGGGTGCACTCTTCCCACCTTGGATCAATTCTATTCTTCCAGGTGCCATAAGAAAGCGGCAGAGAGAGTGAAGGGATAAGTGCGCTACCCGGAAATGATCTCTTTCAGCTTCTGCCTTCTGGAAGAAGGTACAGGGTTATAAAGACTAGGACTAGCTGCCTGAACACTTCCAAGTTTTCGGGCGTTTGAGAACCAAGGTGTTGAGAACCAAGGTACCACTCTATATGACTCATGTTAAAAGACAACCTAACTTCCTGTGTTCCTATCCTACTGAGCGATGTATAGCATTTCCTGAAACCGGACCCTGAATCAGCACCCTATAAACATGTCAAACAAATCTACCTTCCTAATTTGCCATAGCACACGACTTGGAATCGCCAGAACTGTGGAGTGGAAGGGACCCTAGGGGTCATCCAGCCTGACCCCTGGAAGTGCCTAAAGCTTTTGCCACGAAAGGCAGTGTGGTTCTTCCTTTCACACAAAAATTGATCTTATGCAAGAGGACAGAAACTGCTTGGACTGAGAGATGGAAGGGAAGGAGAGAAGAGCATAATGTCCCCAGCCATGTTACCTTTGGAAGACGTAGCCTCCGTCGGGACCCCAGCCCACAATCGGGTCGGTGGAGGGCTTGCCGTTGATGTTCGGCTGGGAATTGATGGTCAGGATCCCTCTTCCTGTTCCACCTTGGCCAGCTCTTCTTTCATAAGGTTGGTCTCGGCGCCAGAGGTTCATCGTTCCAAGCAGGCAGGTCACCTATGGGGGGGGGGAGAGAAAAAAACTATCAATATTTTGGAAAGGGAGAGGGCAGGTTGGGTGTGCACACAAATGCACAGCTTTCTCCCATGTTCCAAAATCCCCTTGAAATTTTAAAATCCTTCCCCCTGTTATACCTCAAGCAGACACACACATGTGTTAACCACAACAATAATTTATTTGTACATGATACCTCAGTTAAGTACTTAATTTGTTCTGGAGGTCCGTTCTTAACCTGAAACTGTTCTTAACCTGAGGTACCACTTTAGCTAATGGGGGACTCCCGCTGCCTCCGTGCGATTTCTGTTTCTCATCCTGAAGCAAAGTTCTTAACCTGAGGTACTATTTCTGGGGTTAGCGGAGTCTGTACCTGAAGCGTCCGTAACCTGAAGCGTCTGTAACGCCGAGGTACCACTTACTCTGCCCATCTGACTGTGTTGCCCCAGCCACTCTGAGCAGCTTCCAACATATATTAAAGCATTATTATTTTTATTGAATTTATATACCGCCCTATACCCAGGGGTCTCAGGGGCGATTCACAGAAAAAAATCAAGAATATAAAACCACAAAATCAAAAATAAAAAACACCACCCAATAGTCCTCCCCTCCAAAATACAAAAACCCCACAACCTTTTAAAAGGCATAGGATGTAAATCAAATCAACCAAAGGCTTGGTTAAAAGAACTTTTTTGCTGGCACCTAAAAGGTGTGTAATGAAGGCGCCAGGCAAACTTCCCTGGGGAGAGCATTCCATAGACGGGGAGCCACTGCAGAGAAGCCCTGTTCTCGTGTTGCCACCCTCTGGACTCTCGAGGAGGAGGCACACAAAAGAGGACAAAATAAAACATTAAAAAGCTTCTCCATACGGGGCTGCCTTCAGGTGTCTAGTTACTCATCTCCTTGACATTTTCAAAGTTCCTTCAAGCACCTTTACTGTGGGGCTGCAGTTCAGCAGTAGAGAAGGGCCTGCTTCAGCATCCATAAGGGCCCTGGGTTCAATTCCTGGCATCTCCAGGTAGGGCTGGGACTAGGAGAGCCATTGCTGCCAGTCAGTGTAGGCAATACTGAGCTAGATGGGACCAAAGTTCAGACTTGGTATAAAGCAGTTGGTTCCTACAATTCACAGCCGAGGAGCAGAAAGCAATGCCTGAAACAAGACCATCCAAGTGTCCCTATTTTCCAGGGGCATTTATGGATCTACAGAAGCCGCCCTGGTTTCTGATTTGATTCCAGAATGTCCCCCCTTTTAGAGAGTCCCTATTTCATCAGAAGAAGGCTGATTACTGAAGAACTGATGCTTTTGAATTATGGTGCTGGAGGAGACTCTTGAGAGTCCCATGGACTGCAAGAAGATCAAACGCAATCCATTCTGAAGGAAATCAGCCCTGAGTACTCACTGGAAGGACAGATCGTGAAGCTGAGACTCCAAGACTTTGGCCACCTCATGAGAAGAGAAGACTTCCTGGAAAAGACCCTGATGTTGGAAAGATGGAGGGCACAAGGAGAAGGGGATGACAAGAGGACAAGATGGTTGGACAGTGTTCTCAAAAGCTACCAGCATGAGTTTGACCAAACTGCAGGAGGCAGTGGAGGACAGGAGTGCCTGGCGTGCTCTGGTCCATGGGGTCACGAAGAGTCAGACACGACTAAACAACAAAATTTTCATCAGAGAAATGTTGGAGGGTATGGAGTTATGCGACCCTCTCCCCCAAGCCAGGAGATAAGTAACTACGCGACCTTTGGAAGACATCCGAAGGCAGCCTGTAGAGGAAGTTTTTATAAATATTTTATCAGTTTAAATTTAAAACTGATGGAATATGCGCAGCTTGCGGACCTACGTATACAATAAGAGAACAAGAAACACACATTTAAAGAAGATTGGAAAATGTTATTGAATATATGGGGGGCGTGGTTATTGTGTACACTGAAAACGTTGACAGCATTAAAATAAATTCAACAGTGTAAATAAGTTTTGAGGGATGTAAATACAGTGGTACCTCCAGGTTACAGACGCTTCAGGTACATACACTTCAGGTTACAGACTCCGCTAACCCAGAAGAAATACCTCGGTTAAGAACTTTGCTTCAGGATGAGAACAGAAATTGTGCAGGCAGTGGCGCGGCAGCAGCAGGAGGCCCCATTAGCTAAATTGGTGCTTCAGGTTGAGAACAGTTTAGGTTAAGAACGGACCTCCAGACAAATTAAGTACTTAACCCGAGTACACTGTTAAAGCCATGGTTTTCCCAGTAGTGATGTATGGAAGTGAGAGCTGGACCATCAAGAAGGCTGATCGCCGAAGAATTGATGCTTTTTGAATTATGGTGCTGGAGAAGACTCTTGAGAGTCCCATGGACTGCAAGAAGATCAAACGCATCCATTCTTAAGGAAATCAGCCCTGAGTGCTCACTGGAAGGACAGATCCTGAAGCTGAGGCTCCAGTACTTTGGCCACCTCATGAGAAGAGAAGACTCCCTGGAAAAAGACCAATGCTGGGAAAGATGGAGGGCACAAGGAGAAGGGGCGACAGAGGATGGTTGGATAGTGTTTTCGAGGTTACCAGCATGAGTTTGACCAAACTGCGGGAGGTAGTGGAGGACGGAGGTGCCTGGCGTGCTCTGGTCCAGGGGGTCACGAAGAGTCGGACACGACTAAACGACTAAACAACAACAAACCACTGTAATGGAATACTGAATGGTATAGTTTATGTAAAATATGTAGGGATTTATGTTGTGCAAAATGAACCATGGAAAGGGAAGAAGGAAGCCATTGATATTTTAAGGTTGTTTGAATGAATATTCTAAATTGTAAAGCGGAAAATTTAATAAAATTTACGTGTGTGTGTGTGTGTGTGTGTGTGTGTTTTATGTTTTTATTGATGTTGAAAGACACCCAGAATGGCTGAGGCAATCCAGTCAGATGGGTCTGGTATAACAATAACAAGAACGGAATAGGACGCCCCCCATTTTCACTGGAGAAATATTGGAGGGTATGTGAGACTTGGGTCAGGACTCCAGAGACCGGACGCCCACACTTGTTCACCCCCTATGTGGAGGTTCATGGGCCAGGGCCCTCCCTGAATCTCTCACCTTGTGCCCCTCCTTGTTGGGCTCTCCGGCGATGTAACACCTGAACAGCTCGAAGACGCTTTCCTCGCTGGTCAGCTCCTCGCCCCACATCTTCAGCAGCTCGTCCCTGGGAGATTTGCTCTTCAGGTAGAAGAGGTAATAATCCTTCAGCTCCCCAAAGGCTGGGGAGGATGAGTTACCCCTGAGGTTGCGGGAGAGAAGGCATGTTAGGGCAGGGCAGGAACAAGCCCCCTTACGGGCAAGATGGCCTCCCCCACATTCACCCACTTGACTGCTCCCATCAGCAGAACTGTTGCAGGGACCACAGAATCCCTGTTCTAGATTTATAAGAAGTCCATCTTTTCGTGTGGCAATACCCAAACTCTGGAACTTCCTGCCTATGGACATCAGGCAGCTGCCTTCACTGTACTCTGTGCTAGAAACATTCGTGAAGCCCACCCAGAGGTTTAGAAAACTGATGCATATTTCCATCTGTTTTTAGCTAGTTGTGAACTTGAGCTCTTGAAAGTATTACATTATCGCTGTTCTTACCGATAAATTTTATCGTTTTGTCTTTTTCGCAAACCGCTTCGAGGCTCATTTGATTTTTTGATTTTATACAGTCAAGTGGTATATCCATTTCATGAAATAATGAATCGAACAAGGGAATGTGTAGTAAAGTTAGTACTTTCTTAGCAGCTTTTCTTTTGGTCAAGTGGAAAATGAGGCCTTGTGGGGAAACCAGTAAGAATTATGGAACCGTCCTGTTGCTTTAACCCGTGAGCCTGTTGGCTCCAAGGGCGTGAGAGGATGACTATGGGAAAGGAAATTTCGGGCTAAATTGAAGGTTTACACCTGCGTTCAAAGTTATGAACATACCCTCTGTAATGTTATCTATCCTTAATTACTTGGGAATGTACATCTGCCTAAGCTCCACCAGTCTCCATCGGAAGGGAGGAAACACCTTGATCTGGGTTCTGAAGGCTTAATTGGCTCAGCTGCCACAAGTTAGAATTATTAGCCCACAAGCTGGTCATTGGAGGATTCAAAAATAATCCAGGGTTCTGACTGTGTTTGGGGGTTTCTGATTCCACGTGCGAATTATGGAGAAAAGATCTTGAGAATGGTTTGAAAGGCGCGCTCTGCAATTCGCAAAGAATCGCCCGGCTGCTGATGTCCACCAAAGCAGCCGTCTTTTCGTCCTTTTGTGCTTTTGCGTTGAAGATTTTCTGAGACCTTTGGATGCGGATTTCTGAAAGACTCTAACTATTCTATCTTTGCCTTAGAGTATAGAAGTGAGTATATAGTCAGCTATCACTTACAACGTTCTTATTTTTCTGTACTTGTAATTTACCAAAAGATGTGCCTGCTTTTTAGCATGTTCTTTACGTTTTAAAATAAATTTTTAAGAAAGAAACTTTCTCTTGTATTGTGTGTGCCTATCCGGGGGAATAGCTAATTCCAACGCCTAGACTTCTTGGTTACGCTCTACCAAAGGATTCCTGCCTGCAAGCTTGTGGAAGCAACTTGTAGTTTGGGGTTAGCCAGCAACAAAGGAGCACAGCTGACTCCCTTGAGCTGTGGCTTCTGGTAACCCTGGGTCGAGGGAGTGGTGGCAGCTCTACCAGTTCTATTTTGTCCTGTTTCTGAAAAGTAAATGGGTTTGCCAGCCTTGCTCAAGAAACCTGATCTGGCCGGAGAGCAAAGACAGGTGAGGGAGGGGCAAGTGGCTGGGCGCCCATTTACTACAGAACGAAACAAGGAAATCTGCTCAGAAAGTATAGGGTCTTTTCTGGACTTGGGAGGAGACAATCCTATGGGTTTCAGTCAACTAGGTTTTACTTAGGGTAGCCCCGCTGAAATTAACAGGCCCAAGAGATAAGTCATTCCATTAACCTATCAGTAGAGGGAAATTCCCAGGTGTCAAAAAGACTATTTATGTAGGCTACTACTGCAGCCCATGTCTTGTTAGCCCAAAAATGGAAAACAAACGAGGTCCCAACCAAAGAAGAATGGCAACTTAAACTGATGAAATATGCGCAACTTGCAGATTTAACATCTAGAATAAGAGAACAAGAAGAACATACATTTAGAGAAGACTGGAAAACGTTTACTGAATATATGGGTGAAAATTGTGTTCATTTAAAAATGCTGACAGCATTAAGATAAATTCAGCAGGGTAAATAAGTTTGGATGGATGTAACAATGGTTTCCTGAATGGTTTAGTTCATGTAAAATACGCAGGGCGTATGGTATGCAAAATGAACCACGGAAAGAGAAGAAGGGATGTCACGGATTTAAGGTTGTTTAAAAGAATATTTTGAAATGTAAAATTTAATAAAAATTATATATAACTACCTCAACTGGTCTATAACCGTTGCATCTTTCTGGCATCTTCTGTTTTAATTCAGATAGGCCTCCCATCGCTTCCCAGTTCAACCAGATCTTTCCAGAGGGATACATCCACCTCCCCCCCCCCCCCACTCACCAGCGGCCATTAGGAAACTCATCCCATTCCTGAGTTCGGTAGATGTAACTCTTCGGCCTGGAGGCCCAGAAAATGGGTCGGACATCTTCAACTCGCCGTTTGGGGTGAGTACTGACCGCCCAGGGCAGGGAACGCCTTGCAGGGGAGGGAGAGAAAATTAAAACATAAATTTGACCTATACTTGCGTGCTGCATCTTTTTAAACACTTCCTGGTAGCTTACACGTGTTTTGCTCCCCCTGAATTAAAAACTGAAGGGATGGCTCATTTTTATACCCAGCAAGTGAGTCAGTGTGGTTGTAGTGGTTGGATTGGGATTTGGTAGGCCAAGTTTCAAATCCCCACTTGAACCCAGAAGTTCATAGGGGGACCTTGGGCTGGTCACTGTCTCTCAGCCTAGTCTACCTCCCAAGATTGTTGTGGGGATTAAATGTGTGGGGGGGAATATATATACAGTGGGATATATATACAGAAGTGAATAAATGAGGTTTACTTTTGCAGCATGTAAGTAAGGAAGAATTAATTGCACCCTGATGTATGACTGTTGCTGTTTTTTAAATTATTTTTATTAATTTCCCAATAAAAAGAGCCAATCAACATATCCACATCATAATCTGATTAAAAACAATAAACTAAAATAAAAAACGGCCAAATTGTAGTCTAAATTGTAATTATTCATTTTTCCGGGCTCCCCATAGTCTGGACCTCTAAAGCATATCTCCAAATCTTCGTTCCTGCCTCTTCTCGTTGTTTTCATGTTTTCCGCCTTCTGATCTTAACACTTTAAAGTTCTCCATCTCTGGTGATGTATGACTGTTTTGAGCATGCCTCATAACTGGGAGAAGCTAAGCTCTGGGGAGAACAGTGGCAGGCACAGAGACAGAAGAATTATCCTCCCATCTGAAGAGATTGCCTGTTCTGTCTTTGTGTTGGGAGTGACTGAACGCTCCAGAGAATTACACCTTCCTAGCACAGGCTGACTGGAGGAGGCCAGTGGAGTCTGCTGGTCAAAGCAATCTCTCGCTGAGACAACTTGTATGCCTGGCCCCACTTGCAGGAGAGCTGTCCGTGGTCCTTAACCCAAACCTTAGTCTGCTCTCCAAGGTGCTGTTGCCTGTCCAACCAGGAATTTGTAGCCTACCCTTGCCTGAGCCACCAAGCAACTGGTGGTAGAGAATCACCCTCTGTTCCTCTTCTGCCAGTCTGCTGGCTAGAAGGCCAATTTTTAAAAAAGATATTTCTAGCCTTCACATCCATGAAGGCTGCAGAGGATGGAGTTTCCCTTACCCGGCAGCCAGCATGGAAACAATTCCCACAAGCTCGTAAAGAATGTGGCAAGATGGATTCCTTTGGGTTCAACGAGGGAAAAGAATATAAACAGATTCTAGCAAGGATGGGCAATGTTTAAAGAATTCTGGACGGTCAGACGGGGGGGGGGCTTAGATATAATCCTTTTGAAATTCTGTTGAGAGCATATGAATATTGTTCTTAAAGATCATAAATATATAAATAAAAAGGGTCCACCCACTAAATAGCTCAGTTGGGTAGATTGTGGTCCTGATAATGCTAAGGTTGCAAGTTTGATCCCCATATGGGACAGCTGAATATTTCTGCATTGCAGGGGTTTGGATGCGGCCCAATCGCCTTCTAAATCCGGGCCGCAGATGCTCTGGGACTCAGCGTGTTTTTACATCAGTAGAATGTGTGCTTTTATTTAAAATGCATCTCTGGGTTATTTGTGGGGCATAGGAATTTGTTCATTTCCCCTCCAGAAAATATAGTCTGGCCCCCCACAAGGTCTGAGGGACGGTAGACCGGCCCACGGCTGAAAAGGTTTGCTGACCCCTGGACTAGATGATGCTCAGGGTCTCTTCAAACTGTACAATTCTGATTCCACTTGATACCTTCCCTTATTACTTTGCTGGCTTCTTTCCTCGCCCCCTTTCCTCCCTCCCTCCCTCTCCTTCACTTTTTTATTTCCCGTTTGCACATACTCTATTTCGGATTGTGACAGCAATTGTTCGTTAAACCTCCGTCATAACTTGATGCATCTTTGCAAAACTGTGCAATTATTGACCGGAATCTTGTTTGTTTCCATTCCTGCACTTGCATTGTTTACAGCAACACAAATAAAAAGTTGGTTTTCCTTTTTTTAAAAAAAAGATGTTGCAAGCTACCGTATTTTTTGCTCTATAAGACGCACCTTTTCCTTCCTAAAAAGTAAGGGGAAATGTGTGTTCGTCTTATGGAGCGAATGCAGGCTGCGCAGCTATCCCAGAAGCCAGAACAGTGAGAGGGTCACTGCGCAGTGCTCCCTCTCGCTGTTTTAGCTTCTGGCTTAGTCACGCTCTGTCCCTTCCACCACCTCCTGGAAAAGCCCCCAAGAGCCGCGCTCCCTTTAAAGAGCCGCGTGGAGCGTGTGTGCGGCTCTTGGGGGCTTTTCCCAGAGGAGGGAGAAGGACAACACGTCTCCCTCCTCGGGGAAAAGCCTGCAAGCGCTGCACACACGCTCTGTGGGGTTTTGCTGCTGAGCCATCTGAGTCAGTTTCAGATTCACAACTTTCATCAGTGGGTGTGGGGTTTTGCTGCTGTTTATCCTCAGTCTCTTCACACGCTCCACGCAGCTTGTGAAAGGGAGGTTTTCCCACCCACCCACCCACCCTTTAAGGTTCCCCTTCTGACCTCGCTATGGACCTCGGTTGGTCGCCTTTAAGGGGCCTGGTAGGACTTTTTTCCACTTGGCAAATTGGCACCGGCCATTGGGGGTTTCGCCCACCTCATAGCAAATCGTCACAACTCCTTTGGTTTTGGCGGTTAGGCATTGGTAGGGGTATTGTTATGTAGATGTGTTGGGGGGGAGGAACGCCATCACCTCCCCCAAATATTGAAGGGTAGTCTAGTAAAGGATTCCGGGGGCGTGGCCTCGTCGGAAGCCTATGGAGGCCAGGGCCTAAAGTGCGCCCCCGAGCGGTGACCCCGGGGGAGTCCCTAGTCGATGTGCATCAGCAGGGCTCCCCCTGCTGGTGTTAACCCTTCCGGGTCTTCAAGCAAGCAGGCCGAAGCCGGATAGTTGGATAGGACCAATGCCTAAGCCAATACCGCTCATCACCTGTAACCGATAAAGTTGCGGGCAATTTTAGCCCATTAACCTAAAATAATGGTGTCATGTGTCTTTATTTCTACTGGTGGGAGGCAGGAACTCGCCACGCAAACGCCGGCACCCTTGGCCTGAAAAGCAAGATGCATGCCGCAACCCCATAGTCACTTTGGCTGGACTTAACTGTCCAGGGGTCCTTTACCTTTTTACCCGTTTTTGTCAACAACTCCCATCCACTCCAGCCAGCACGGCCAATGGTCAGGAGCAACAGGAGCAGTCAGCTCAGCAGCCATTGCATCAGGCAAAGGAAGAGAGTTGGAACTAGAGGGTTGCTCTATTAATATGGCTAAAAAGACCAGCAATTTTACTCTGATTTTTTATTCCTTGCAACCATTGACATTCTGGCTCCGGCAAGTAACCAGTGCTTTTCTTCAAGGCTAGGGAAAAAGGTGCTAGTACTGCGTACCCTTGAATACCCCCCCCCCGAAAAAGCACTGACTGTAACTAAGAATTAGAGCCTGGACCTGCTTTCACCTCCTCTTCCCTCCCACTCCCCTTTCCTTTTGTGTCATGTCTCATAGGCCACACCCACACCCATATATTTAAAAGCATGTTGCTTGCTTCAAAGGATTCTGGGAACTGTAGTTCACCCCTCACAGTTCTCAGCACCCTTAAACAAAGTGCAGTTCCCAGGATCCTTTGGGGGAGGGAAATGGGATTTAAATCATGTCTGGTTTGGATGTGACCTTAGATTGCAAGGGTGGGACATTTGTAAGCCTTTTTTGACTGACGAGTGGCATGAAAATGCCTAGTAATTGCTCAGCTGAGAGGAGAATCCACATCCAAGAGCTACACAAACACATGCCTAATTAACAGGTTTAATTGCAATTAACTATCTTGCACACATCCAGGAAAGAAAGAAAAATAGGGGCACATATTTTCAGCAGATAAGATGCAAGGCTGATAAGGTGCAATTGTTATTAAACGAGTAATTCCATATGTGATCCTTTCCTCAGGGGAAGTTGTTCAGCTGTTCGCTAGACAAACGTTATGAGCTGTAGTTGACATTAACGGACATGGCCAGTTTCAGTGGGTCTACTCTGAGTCAGACACAGTTGCAGACAACCTTACTTCTAATAAAAACATACATTGCAGAGCCACTTTGCCTCGTTTTCCCCACACGCAACAGCCAAGGAGTCCCCAAGACCAGGACCCCCATAGCAAGATGCCCTAGGCTGACTCAGCCCATCAGTCCCAGGACTGTCAACACTGGCTGGCAGCAGCTTTCCAGGGCTTCAGGCACGGAAGATTTCCAGCCCTGCCAGGAGATGCCACTGGGGATCTGAAGCAAGATTTCCTCCACCACCGAACTAAGACTCTTCTCTTTCCATGGCTGCCACAAATCACACACTAAACATTTAGGGGTTCTGCAAGGGAACAAGGGTTAAGACATCACTTGCCTTTTCCAGGTGAGACTTTTTCAGGCTCCCACTCTGAGCAAAGGGAGTTGGAGCAGGAGGTCATTTACAATAAAGGATATTTCCAAGGAGGAGATCAGGGCTGGGCAAGCAGCGAGGCGGGGAGAAGGGACAACAGCCCAAACCTGCAAGACCCATCGCAACACTTGCCTGGGGGAGTGATCCTTCCATGCAATTGTCCACTGCAGCTGGACAGGCTTTTTGCTGCGCTCCAGGTTATTTCCTGCGGCTGTCCACGTGCACACCCAGTGAGACTCTCAGGCTCGCTGACCTTGCTTGGATCAAGTGCACAGCCACTCTCCAAAATGGACTCCCCGCCAAGAACAACAGCAGCCTCTGAGCCTCCGCTCTTACAGCTATGCAAACAGACCCGCTTGGGCCTCTGCAGGTAACTGCACATACAAAGCCAACTAAGGTGTGCATTCAAAGGTGCCCCTCCTGCATCCACCAGAGCCCAGCCCAGACCCTGCGGATGGCCAGACCCTGGCTTGCCATACAGAGGGCCGGCCCCTGGCACTCTCATCCCTAATCTCTGGGCCCGCTGCTCCAAATGGGTCCAGTG